AGCTGTCACATGGGAGACGGGTTGGGACTGGATGAAAGAAGGTGAAGGGATTAATCAAAAAACATGAACGTATAACCCATAGACACAGACAACAGTGTGATGGTAGCCAGAGGGAAAGCGGGGTGAGGGTGAGGGGAGGTAGGCAAAGTCTGGGGCAAAAGAGACTTTGCTTGGGGTGATGGGCACATGATGCAGTGTGCAGATGAAGTTTTACTGAGTTGTACACTTGAAACCCGTGTGGTTTTGTGAACCAATGTCACCCCAATAAATTCAATTTTTAAAAAAAAATGACTGGGATCGACTTCAAGGTTGCATTATTACAATGCCACTCATCAGACTTGACCTGAAAATTTTCTTCACTTAATATCTCTTTAAAATAAAACCATAAACAGAGTTGATTTAGGAGGTAGGCAGTTAATTCAGTAAGAACATGAGACTTCAAGGTGAAAAAAAAACAAACAAAGCAAAAAGCAAGAGTAAAAATATTCTGAAAGATCCCTCTTGCACAATGAAGCATTATTTTATCAAGCAGGGAGACACAAGACATTACTTACAGCCTCTTATTGTCGATATTTAGTATAAAATAGCTATGTGCCTGACTCAGGGTATTCATGATTCTAGGAAGATATGCTACTCATTCTCAGTTTGTTCACACATTCTGCTTCATTTTTCTGCTTTCCTCTAATTATTCTCTGCCGTGGAAGATTGCCTCATTCACGCTGTATCTCCCAGGCTCTTCTGGCTTCACTTTGAGTTCAGCCAAAGAGGAACATTAATTAGATACAAGTGAGGAGAGGGAAGGTTGCGGGATATTTCTTCTATTCCTTCTCTTCTCCAGAGCCACGTGTCGGGCAATTTCTGAAACCCTTAATGACTAGCTGTCTCACTGGGCAAGCCTACTTCCAAGACGATAGTTCTCACAAATTTTGGTAACACTTGTTCCACCTCTTCCCCTTAAGCTCTCAAGGTGATAAAAGCTTCATGTCATTCCTCTTGCTCATCTCTGAATACCAACCATCCTTTTTTAAATTTATTGGGGCAACACTGGGTAAATTTTACTACTAACTGCCTTCCCGCTGGTAACCACTACAGTGTTGGCGTGTCTATGAGGTTTTGTTTGTTTTTTAAACAGCTTTATTGAGGTATAATTGAACATATTTAATGTATCCAACTCAATTTAATATACAGATTTATATTTACATTTATATATAAATCCACATATTTAATGTAAATATTAAAATGTGCATAATTAATATATGTAATGTGTACAATTTGATGAGTTGATACATATGCATACAGCCATGAAACCATAACCACAATCAAGGCAACAGACATATCCATCACATCCAAAAGTTCCTTTGCATCTCTTTGGGTTTTGGGTTTTGTCCCATTTTGTTTTGTAATAAAAATCTTGCGTGAGATCTACCCTCTTACCATGTTTCTAAATGCAGAGTACATGTTTCTAAATGGAAAAAGTCCTGTTAACTATAGGGTCTATGCTGTACTACAGATCCTTAAAACTTATTCATCTGGCATAATTAAAAGCTTGTACCTGTTCACCTGCCCTTTCCCCAGTCCTTAGCAACCATCCAGTCCTTGCTTCTGGGAGTTTCATTATTTTAGATAGCTCACATAAATGGAATGCAGTATTTGTCTTTCTGTAACTGCTTTATTTCACTTAACATAATGTTCTCCAGGTTCATCCAGGCTGTCGCTAGTGGCAGGATTTCCTGCCTGACATAATTCAAACCCAATTTTCATGACGAATATATGACTTGTTCTCATGAAACTAATTTATAATACGAAGACATAGAGCCCTTTGGCTGGCTAAAAGTCCATGTAACTTTTAACACTTCTGCAATGTATAATGTTATTTTTGTTAATTGAGACAAAATGTTCATCAATTGACCTTTACCTTGGGATGATTTTTCTTAGAAGAACTCATATAATTAAGAGCTAAAATCCTTTCTTATTGAGAGAGTAATTAAAGAGTTTAAACAATTAAAAAATACATATTGTGTGTCCCTTAGTAGGCCATGACATAATTCTTTTAAATTTGAAAGAAGTGAAAGAAAGGAAAGAAGTATGTAGAGCACTAGACACCTAAGTTATCTACTACAAAACAATTAGCAAAACTATCACTTGGAGTGTTTGTAGCAAATACCAAGTATGCCTAATGAACTCATACATTTGGCTAAGGAGATGACTAGAAAGAATAAAATAATTTAATTGAGTTCCTTAAATACGTCTGGTAACATATGAGAAGATAAAAATGAATTTAAAAAGGAATTGTTCAGTTTTAGAACAAAATGTAGACAAAATATAGAGTACCCATGACAGCCTTTCTAGCCAAGAAAAGATTGTTGACCTTAAAGCACAAAAGGGCCAGTTGTTTTACCAGCAAAATGGGTTTATTTGGGAATAGCAAAGGAATTGCAACTTGGGACAAGCCAACTATGGTGAACCATAGACAAGTTCAAAGAACAGAGGAAAGAGGTTGCTTTTATGAGGGGAAAAGAAGGAGCTGGGAGGGGCTGTTTGGAAGAGGTCAGGGTAGTAATGGCCACTCATTGGCTGAGTGTAGCAGTTTCTCATCGGTTGGGCTGTAGCCAAGAGTCCAAATTTGAACGCAACCAGCTAAAGAGGTGCAGGTGACAGCTGAGGTGTTTTGCTAGGTATGTCCTACCATTTGGGGTCTGGGTGGCAGTGCCTGAGATCACTCTCTTCAGGGCTCCCTGACTCAATTTTAAATGAGGTTTCTTTTATTTTTAACGAGATTCAAAGATACACAGCAGCCTCAGAGCAAAGAACAAAACCTGGACAGTGTGTTGCAGTCTCAGGGTAAACAAGTGAAGGGTGTAGCTATGTGATCCTTATTTAAAATCTCAGAAAGATTTCAGAATATTCCTCACTAACTCTCTTTGAGAGGCAACCCACATCAGCCTCACAGGTGGCCCAAGGTAGGACTCGTCAAGGAAAGAAATGTGGGTGTGTCTTTTGTTCAATGGAGTGAACACCCAATAAGAATCATAAGCAACCTGACAGACAGAGAGAACCTGCGCTATTAGAAGCAACATGAGCTTAGACTAAAAGGGTTAGAAACAATTTAGAATTAGAAGTCTTGGTACCCTCAACCTTTGCACACGGGGAGCACACTCAGAAAGCTAAACATCTACAGACATGGACCATTTATTTCAACAAAGAGAGGATGACTCAGAAGGCTGAGCTAAGATACTAGAGGACCAATTGGTGACTCACAGAATGAGACTGGGCCCTAACCGAGGACCTGGAAGCATGTGGCCTGTTAACTTTCAGAATTACTGTGGATTATTCCTCCTCTTGAATAAAATTTTCAGTTAAGTCTATCCTATAACTATCTCAATATTGTATGTTAGATGTGAGAAGGGCAGGAAACATGTCTCTTTCTCCTACAGGCCTTCTGATTAAAAAGAATAAAACTTGAGGAACTGTACCTGAAAAGTCTGTTTTGTACCTAGGCCTAATTAAAATGATAAGGTTCTGGATGTTCGTACATTGCCATAAGGGGATAAGATTTTGGTGGTCTTGGAAGGGGGTGAATGTATTTTTCAAGTGTGAAAAATGTAAATATTATCTGTCCAGGGGATTGTGGTAGATTAAAGATGGCTGAAAGTCCTTCACACTTGTTTCATAGAGAGATTCTTTTTTCCTTCCCTCTGAATCTGATCTGGCCTATGGTTACTTTGACCAATAGAATATCCTAGAAATGATGCATAACTGATACTTTACACTGGTCTGGGCCTAGACTGATAGAGGACCAGTGATTCTACTGTGGTGTCCTAAATCTGAGCAGCTATGTAAGAAATCTAACTAGACTAGAAATCTGCCAGACTAATAACAAGAAGTGGCTCTGGGCAAGGGCGGTTATGGATGGGAATTAGCTGATGCCCAGCAGTTCCAAAGGAGCCTTCTGTCACCTAGCTAATTCAGCAGATAAAATGGAGCAGAAGCAAGTCCTACTGTACCCTGTCTCAATTCCTGTACCTTAGAATAGTGAGATAAGATAATGGGAAACCGTTAGCCTCAGTCAGTAAGTTTTGATGTAGGTTGTTATTCAACAGTGGATAACCAGAACACATACTAATTACATGCAGAAGACCTTGTGGCTTGAAAAGCATACAAAATGTCATGGAAGGTGAGAAATGCTTAATAAAATATTATTTTCTATTCCTTATCATTGTCAAGCTCATTTATTGGAGTGCAATGGACATTATCCATCCGAAAAGATGTCAACAATGTGATGAAATATACTTATTAATTCTGAAAACAAGTTTTAAAATGAAAGCTACATCACGTGAACTTCATGAGATAGAATATTAGGTCAGTTAATGAAGAAGCAGTAAATTCTAGCAATCTGTGTGATATTGTTATATAATCTGGAATCACAGATTATGACACATTTGACTCATTTTTTTTTTAATCAGAAAAGGAAACCCATATTGAATTTCTGAACACAATTCAAGCCTTGCTAGTGGCTCTCAATCACTCTTTGCCTGTTAGTATCATTGGTTACCCTATTTGTTCAAGATTTGTTTTGGTATTTTGTTTGTTTTTGCCTATATGAATCAGCATTGCAATGTATTTCAAGTTATATAATTGTATCTATATGTATAAACTTTTATCCATAATTAATACCTGGGTGTTTAGTTGTACATTGGAAAAGTTACAAAACGATAGGTTATGAACCTCCATTTTAAAAAAAAATTATATAGAGCCGTTTCTCACATGGCCTCAGCTCTGGAGATAGGCGGGTCTTTGCGGAACATTCTCTCGTTGCTAAGGCACCAACGTGCAGGCATGGAGGGCAACAAACGGAAGCAAAGAGCCGTTAACGGATTCCAAGAAACCGTTACAGCAGTTGGCGCCATATTCGCCATTTTCCCAGATTGTCAATGTCTTGGTTCTCAGTTTGAAGGGCCCAAGCTGAACTGTCTGAGGCCGGGGCCCAAGCTGAACTGTCTGAGGCCGGGGCCCAAGCTGAACTCTCAAAGGCCATGAGTTCTGGACGCGCTCCTCTCAAACTGGCGGGCATGATCTCCGTGAAGGTGGACAACCTGCATGAGCGCACCACACCCAACAGCCTGCGGCATATTTTCAAGAAGTTTGGGGAGATCGGCGATGTGTACATCCCCCGAGAACGCTTCACTAAAAAACCTCGGGGCTTCGGCTTTGTTCGTTTTTACAACAAGCGCCATGCCGAGGATGCCATAGATGCCCTAGACGGGGTTATGCTGGATGGCCGTGTGCTGCGGGTGCATATGGCACGCTATGGTCGCCTCCCAAATCCCTGCAGTGGCAGCCAAAGAGAAAATCCTTCCTTCAGGTACGAATGCCGAAGCCGAAGCCGCAGCCGCAGCCGCAGCCGCAGCCCAAGGGAGCAGTACCAGCCTCAGTCTCAGGGCGAGTATTACTGCAGCCACGAGAATTCTCCATCTCGCTTTCAGGATACACCTCCAGCAACCACTGAATCCATCTCTACTGCTTGTTTCGGCTACAGGTTCTCCTTGCTGCCCGTGTATCTGGGTTTTCCTTACTAACAGCATCCAGGGAATTGCACCAGGTCTCCAGGTACAGCATGCTGTTAGGACAATGACTCACTACCAAGTAACCTGACTGAGGACTGGGGAGAGGGGAGAAGAACAACTGAATCAGAGTCCTTGGTCTAGTCTTTAATATGTCTTAAGTTTTTACTTGTTTTTAAGTTTTGCTTCAAGTGGTAAACTTCATTTTATGGGGGGTTGTGGTGTTGTTATTCAAATGTCTTCTAAGTTACTGAGGCGAACAACTTCAAGTTATTCTTGGTTGGGATATTTGAGTTAATTTTCATTTTTCATTATGTACTACTTCTTGTTTAAAAGTAAACAGATAGTTAATGTAATTTATAGCCTTCTGATTTAAGAACATGTGAGCAGCCTTTTATTCAGTAGTCAAAAACTACCTAGAGATTGACTCACCTTTGCCATCATTCTTATAAAGATAAAAACCTAGTAAACTTGCTGTAACTTTATTTACATGTGTTATTTACCTTTGGATCTAAATGGTAATCTGGACCTGTATTTGTATAAAAATATTTCAGGTGAAAATAACTTATTTTTTAAAGGATTATTCATCAAACATAGTTCTAAACTCTCATGCATTTTTGTATACTAGATGTACTTGTATAGCAGATGAGTGATGCTGGCTACTTGTTAAGGTGGTGTTTCACAGTACAGAATGCTTGTCTGTTTCATGTTTTATCCTGACCTCTCCCATGTAAGGGGGATATGCTCTGCAGTAACAAATGGCTACCCAGTTTATTAAGAAGTCTGACAATTACATTTCAGTCACTTTGGCCTGGCATATATGTAACAAAGCATACAGTAAGAATGTCTAGCAGATGATAAATACACCTTTATTTTTTTCCTCTTACCCCCTAAGTGGTAAAGCTGATCATCATCTATGAACTTAAATACATAAAATGTTAAGAAGCAAATGATTAGTAATTTTGTAAGAACTAATAGCATGTTGTATCTTTTTGCTTATTCATATATTGGACTGTAACCCCTTTCTGAAATTTAATTAAAACATTTTTTCCTGGTGCTTTAAAAATTAAAAAGTGTTGTGATTAGATTCTCATTAATAAAAGTGTGAAACAAAAGATAGAGTTTTATCTGTCTCAAATATTTTATAGATATTGAATAAAAGTATCAAGACAGCCGAGTACCAACAGCCAGAGATCCTGGGTGTAAATATTTTATCTTAGCAAGTGAAAATGAAAATCCTATACATCTGCTACTATGTCACAGCTCTGGTCCCCACGCCTGTCATGACCTTACCCCAGCTCTGCCCTCAATCCTCTTGAATGGCCTTCTATGGCTCAATACTCCATGTAACTTATTAGCTTTGCATGAATGTTCTGGGAGACAGTCATCCCGAGCCTGACCTCAGAATTTGGACCTGCCCTGATTCCCTTGTTTTTAGCTCAGCACTGCTGGTACTAACTCTAGCCCTACTCGCCTTTCCTCTTCACTACCTGGTTCAACCCACCATCCTGGTTCAGGCATTATTTTTAATTTCCACTGCCTAGTTCTCTTTGTCTGAGCAACTAAAATAAACTTTAACAAGAGAGACTCAATTTTCTCATATTAGAGTTTTAAAAAGTGGGATGTATAGAGATTACATGAGCACATAATGGATTATTGGACTTTCACCTGACTATCTAAATTCTCAATCCAATCCTCTTTCCTATATATTGAATTCCCTCAGTATATTGCCTTTATTTTTTCTAAATAGTTTATTTATTTATTTTTAGAGGGGGGAAGGGAGGGAGAAAGAGAGGGAGAAAGAGAGGGAGAGAAACATCCATGTGTGGTTGCCTCTCTCATGCTCCCTACTGGGGACCTGGCCCGCAACCCAGGCATGTGCCCTGACTGGGAATCCAACCGGCACCTTTGGTTCACAGGCCAGTGCTCAATCCACTGAGCCACACCAGCCAGGGCCACTATATTGCCTTTAAATACATGGAACTGAAATGGTGTTTGGGAGCATCAACTGCAATGTTGGGAAAAATATTAAAAACGAGCCTTTAAAATAGACAATAACTGTAATGTTGTAGGACTTAGATGTTTGAGATGAAGTATGTACATTCACATTGCACAGGACACTTCAAAACTTAAGTGAAATTCACCTATTACTAGTATCCAGAAACTACTCTTAAGCCAATGGTTACTACCTAACCAAATGTCTGTTTAAACTTTTTAAACATACCACATATATATGCGCTTGTGCACACACACCTACTCATACCTATGAAGACTTCACTAAATTTAGGCATTCTAAAAATCTCACCAGGGAGCTAATTGATCATATTATCTCACTCTTTATTAAAGTATCAATGAAAGACATTTTATTTCCCACCAGGACCATTTTGTTTCTTAATATAAACCAATTGTTCAGGATATTTTCTCTTTATCTGAGAATTAAATGAGTATTATTGGGTCAAAGTATCAGAATACATTGAATAATAAATATTTGCAACACATACTAACATAGAGACATTTTGAAAAGACCTCATGGTACAGAGAAATAGCGAATTTATCTAACAAAATTAGCATTATATGTCATAATCACATTTAATTCATAATCAAATGAAAATGATTCTTTATTTCAACTTAATTATACACAATTTCAGTGTCTAATACTTATTAAACAAGTAAATGACAGAAAAAATCTGTTTTCCTATCTTTTCATAAAAAGCTAAACCCAATTAAACTTATGTAATCATGTTAATTTTATAGAATGGAGAATAGCCAATGAGTCTTCCATGGACAATGTATTAAAAATTACTTTTGGACCTCTGATTAGGTCAGTGATCATATCACTCTCCTCTTGCAGTTATTAGGATCCTTCCAATACTAAGTGACAGGAATCCTTCACAAGCTTATACACTAGTTTACAGATGTAAAAATCCTATAGCATAAATATCTTCACGTATTTCTCAAATTTTTCCTTGTATATCTTGCCCTTTCTCTGTCTTTGCTTTCCTCTGTCTCTTTGTGTTGATTTTCTTCATTTTCATGTACACAAGAGAGTCACAACCATCTCTAGGTATACATCCTACCAGCTTAGCAACCACAGTGGAAAATAATCTCTCACTTTCAGTAGTTTCAGCCAACATCTCATATTTAACTCTTAAATGAACTTTTGGTCACATGCCCAGGCTTAAAACAGTGACCATAACCAGCGATCTGAAATACATTCATTGGACATGGCTGCCTCTCGTGATCTTTCCTTTACCCATGATAGTGAATTCAGTAAAACCTAAACCAAGGGGACCAATATTGGAGAATGGGATTTCCCTCCAGGAAAATCAGGGTGCTGTTATCATAAGTATGCTAAGTGGATGTTAATCAGGCAAAAACAAAATCTACTGCTTATTCTCAAGAAAATAACAAAACATCCTAACTCATGCCCTACTTCTAACATGAAAAAAAAAAAAATCAAACCTCAACATATATTCTGTGTCAATTATTCCTTCTGGGATTAATTTTACAACATTTTCACCCCAACTCCAAAACTGCAGCCACAGTTGCCCAAACAAGCCAAGGCCTTTTAAGTCTATTCCTCCTGTCTGACATAGTCTCTCTTCACCAACACATACCCAACTGCCACTTTCCATCTGTATAAACTCATAATATTTCAAGAATCACATATAAATGTAATACCGCTGTGAAACATTTCCCAACTCCCATTAAGTAGTCATCATGCAGTTCTCACACTTACACAATACTACATGTATAAATCTATTACCGCACATAAGATACTGTATTTTGATAGTTTCTCTGTGATGTTTCCCTCACCTGGAGTGTGAATTACTTGGGAGTGCCGCCCGCTGCAACACTTACCAACTCCAGTGGCCAGCGCAGTAACTGACTCAGTTTATGTTGGATGACTTCATTATTAATGAAGTCAAATGGAATAATGTCTCAAATTTAGCAGCCGAATCTTGTCTTTACATGAACAAACTGAATGAAGGATTTCCAGGAAAGTGTTAAGTGGGACTGGTAACATGAATGAGTCCAGAAAGTCTCAGAGGTCCCCTTCAGATAGGATTGCAAATAAGCATCATTCTTACCAAGCCACTCTGGCTGCACTAAGATGCATGGAATAAAGTCAGCAAAGTTGGCACTCATTACGGTAGGCAAAATAATTATTATGGATCTGTTTGTAAAAGTGCCTGTGATGTTCTGGTTAGTTTTGTTGCTTAAGTAATATTTATAAAACTTATGAGAAAGGAAAACAAAAATGAAACTGGATGCATTTGTGGAGAATTCCTTAAGGGATTCTCTGGGTGAGAGAAAACTGTCAAATTTTTAATTAATGTATTTATTTATGCTTTAAGCAGAAGCTTGAGGGGTTGTATAATGCAAGATGAAGCCATTAAGAGTTTAAAGGGAGAGGATTCAATTAAACAGGTTCAGCTCTGGCGAATTATCAGAAAACGTGGGCTTTCTTAGAGAGTGTCTATGATTTCAGGAATTCTGAAGAGAAAAAAACAGAGGTCCCTGGGCACCTAAAATGAAAATTGCAACATTTAACTGGGATGACTTTGGCATGGCATATTGAAGAAGGCAGCCATGTATCATGTAACTAACTACATTTGGGTCCTGTAATTTAACATACGAATAACTGGAGCATATCAGAGTCTGAAAAGATCTCCTAAAGTCTGAGAACAGACTCATGGGGGTTAAAGGAGGTGAAGGACCGTGTGTGATACACAATAAGCCCTCATCAATACTTGCTGGTTTGGAATGAATTGAAACCTGACCTGAATGCAGACCTATTTGGTAACCATGGGGAAGATCATGGTTGCCTAGGCAACAATGAATAGCATATTTGGTATAAAGGCGGGTCTCAATAGTTGACTCACCAGACGCTGCAGAACTGTGGTGGTGGGAGAGGCGAGAGAATCTTAAGCGGAGGCAGATCCCACTGAGTTGTATCCTGACACTGAAGCAAAAAGTATTTGTTTGTATTTCAACACCATTCTGTAAAAGTC